CCCGTGTCCCCTGCATCGGCAGGCGGACTCTCAACCACTGCGCCACCAGGGAAGCCCTCCTAAGGACTTCTTAAAGGAAAATGTAGGCCTAGTCCCACCAGCAAAGTGCAGTCCATTTTTTTTTTTGGCTCTAATGACAGGCTGTAAATTTTATTCTGAGGGGCCTTTGCTTTTCCAAAGATACATCTGTACTGAAGAGTTGCCTGCATCTTATTTGCTTTTTGTTTGTTTGTTTTTAATTTTCATTGGAGTATAATTGATTTAAAGTGTATTTGTTTCTGCTATACGGCGAAGTGAATCAGTTATATGTATACATATATCCACTCTTTTTTAGATTCTTTTCCCATGTAGGTCATTACAGAGTACTGAGAAGAGTTCCTTGTGCTGTACAGTAGGTCCTTATTAGTTATCCATCTGATATACAGTAGTGTGTATATGTCAATCCCAATCTCCCAATTTATCCCTCCCAGCAGTCCGTTCTTGATGACAAAACCCGGCAGAGAGGAACAGAGCTGCAGAAGACGGAGTGCCACGAGCAGCGGACTGGCACGCCAGTACCTTGTTAGAACTAGTTTCTAAACATTCCCTGAACAGCTGGTAAGGGAGACAGTCCGCCCTGAGCACAACGGATGGGGAGAGGAGGCCACCCAGGGATTAAAATTTTAACCCAGATGATCCCGAGGGTGAGTGAGTGTACAGTACAAAGTGCAGTTCAAGGAGCTGTGTGCGCTCACTCATGCGAGCCATCAGGCCTTTGGGGTCCGTGGACCTGCAGAACGAGTGACCCGTGGAACTGAATCCATCAGCGAGTCCCACCGTGCGGGGCGTCCTATACTAACGTGTGTGGGGGGGTGAAAAGCAGGGCGGAGGGGGCGAAGGGATCCAGCAGCATTCTGGGTGCTCAGCAGCTGCGAAATAACTACTCACGGACTTGAATTCAATAAAATCAAGAAGAAAAACGGAAGTGCAGATCCTTGCAAAGTGCCTTCTGGCAGTTCAAAACATTTTTGTACTCTGAGGGCAAGTGGCAAGGATTAAGCATATCAAACTGGCTTTGTGCTTCTAAGGCCACTTGATCCTGGAAGCTCCTTTTCACTCCCCGCACCTTCACCTCCTGCCCCGGGTCGGGCAATTATCTGTGGTGGTGCAGAATAATGGAATCATTTTGCCGTTTACTGTCAAGACACTGCATCCAACAGTGAGGGTTTTATTCTGAGATAAAGTTTGAAAAAAGGCTCAATAGATGCCAGGTATTAATTTCCATCCTTGAGAAAGAAAGGATGCAAACTGCAGCAAAGTCGTGTTGATCCCTCAGTCTATTGACGCTCGAGCCCACGGTCTTTCCCTTCCCAGCTTGAAAGAATATGGCTCATTGTCTCAGTCAAAGGTTGCATCCGTTCTCCCGACCGTTAGCGCACCTTACTTTTGGAGAAGTGACTGTGTAGCCACTGTAATTAGGGGCCATACATTCTCCCTGAGGAATCTTCATCGCGGCGACCCAGCCCTCACGGGAGCAAGCTGAGCTGCGCATCATGGGCCACGTGTGAAATAACAAGCTTTCCTACTTTCTCTCAAGACCACTGTTTGGACTTACAAACACCGTCTGCTTCTTATGTGTTAAATAGCTAAAGATCAGACTCAGGCTATCGTCAGCAGCATGAACGAATAACTCGCAAACTCCTGAGTCGTCACGCAGTTTTATAGTTTTCTTTCCAAAGGCACTTTGAAAAAAGACTTCAAACAAACGAACAATAACCTATTCCCTGATGACTGTCCTTTGACACGTGAATGTTTCCTGAGGTTTTAGGCTGGGCTCTGAGCTGCCCTGTGATGTCACGGAGACGGACAGCCCCCTCTGAAGCTTAGGGCCTATTCCTCTGCATGTGTGTGAAACCCTCCCGGTGAAACCTACTGGATGACCCGGGAGGCCCAGGGCCTCAATGCAGTTGAGTTTCTGGACTCTGTACAATTAGCTGCTGACCAGGATGGGGTGTCCAGACACTCCTTCTCTGAGATACTTTGGGGTCAAGAAATATTTACAAGAAAAGTGAGGCTCAGAAAGATTAATTGACTTACCCATAGTCTGGTAGAAAGACCCTCAGAGATAGCTCCACCCTGGAAATCATGTTTCTTTGTTTTGTTTGTTTGTTTAGAAATTTTCCTAAGAGAGAGAGAGAGAAAGACAGACAGACATCATTCCCAGCTTTGTATACAGATACCCCAAATGAATAGGCCACAGAGGAGGCGCATGGGTGATTTAGAACCCAGCTTCTTGACAAAGGGATGGGTCCCAGAGCTGACTTTGTTAAACAGCATCCTTCTGCCCTTGCAGCTGGATCACGCTGACTGGAGTGCTCTACCCTTGTCAGAAGGTGGCTCTGTAGCTTTCCTGAGATTTTGGAGAGGTGGAAAGAAGACCTGAGAGAAAATGGTACTTCTGCCTCCCAGGCACAAGTGAGGGGCCAGCCAGCCCAGAAATGCCCCCGTGTGCTCTGGTGTCTTGGGTCTCCAGCCAGACCAGGGTGTCTCTGGGAGCTGAGGAAACTCCCTGAAGGTCAGGGTGAGGAGTAGGCTTAAATGTTACCCCTCTTAAGCGAATGAGAGAAGCCTGAGCTTTGGTTTCTACACCAGGGACACCGATCTGCTTGTGGAGGGGGCAGCCGGCCTCCCCAGAGGTTCTCCTGGGTGAGGGCCTGGGCTCCAGTGGGGTCAGAGATTTTAGAGGAGGACGTCCCCTCAACGACCATCTGAAAATTCCAATCTGATTATGTCACGTTCCCAGTGAAACTCCTCTGTGTCTCCCAACTGCTCCCCGGAAGAAGCCCCAGAGCCCCGTGGGGTGCTGGTCCCCTCTCCATCACACAGCAGACCAGGCCCTGGCCCCCTGTGCTGCCTGCCTTCCTGCTCTCCCCCTAGCACTACCCAACCCCTTCCTGGCAGACTTTCACTGCCCTTCATCTGCCCACTGCTTCTCCCTGCCCTCAGCCCAGGGCCTTCAGATCACTGGCCGCCTTCACAGAGCCTTCCTGGACGCCTCGCTAGGTTGAAGAGTTCCTAATATACCTAGCAGTTATGAATAAATGACCACATACCCATCAAATGAATGTCAGCTCCCCACTGCATGTCACCAGCATCCAGCTTTGTCCCAGGAGCCACACTCAGGAAGCTGGAAGGAACTGTCTGTCTGCGGCAGCGAGGCAGGTGCAGCATAGAGGGACAGAGGTAGGAGCCCTAGGCTCAAGTCTTACCTCCGGCACTTCCTTCCAGACTGCAGACGTGTCCTTTTGATGCCCTGACCTGGTCTCCTTCTCTGTGCTGTCTGACCCTCTGCTCTCTGAGGACTTCCCTCCGGCCCTGACATTCTCAATGGCCATGAATTCATTCAGGCCTGGTCTCAGAAAATCATGATGTCAAGAAGTTTCTCCTGGGTGCCCTCCCACCCCCTCCCTGGGCTGGCAGGGCCTCTGCTCTGCTCTCCATCCCTTGCTTCTCTCACAGCCCTCCTGAGGCACCTCACTTTGCTGGGAACATTTCACTGCCAGCTGCAAGGGAAAGCAAGATAAGAAACTAGTTTGAACTAGGAGTTTGGAGCTTCATATATTATCTTCAGACACACGGGCATGTTAAAAGGCACCTGCCCAAGGCGAGAATCTCTAAGGACAGTTGGGGAGGAAGGGTAAGGCCTTTGGGTAGAAGCCTTTTTTGATACCCTTCAAAGAGCAGCTGGGGTTATTGTTTGCCTGAATGACTTGCAAAAACATTTGTGAACTCACATGTAGAAGCCAGCCTATAATTGGTTTGTTAACGTGGTGATGGTTCCTGAGGCCTGGCTGGGAGTATCTGCTGATCAGGCCTGGGGTGGAAAGAAGTCCTGAGAAAGTGCATCCAGATTGGGGCCCAGGAATTACAGCAATCATGCAGAAGATGATCCTGCCAGGAGCTGAGCCTTGATCCCCAAGGGCTTCTAGAGAAAAAGCAAAGCACTTCTCTGATTTCAGGAGCTCAGTAAATCCAGCTCTCTGGCCTCTTTCAAACAATAGCAACTCTGCAGAGACAAGGGATGAGGTGAAGTAGACAGGATGAGACTTCACATTCTTAAGATGTCTATACTCACCAAACTGACGTACAGATTCAACACAATCCCTATCAAAATCCCAGCTGCCAGTTTTTGCAGAAAGGGACAGACTGATCCGAATTTTAATGTGAAAATGCAAATGACCCTCAATGATTGAAACAATCTTGTAAAAGATGAACAATGTTAAGAACTCACATTTCCCAACTTCAAAAGTTACTATAAAGCTACAGTAACCAAGAAGGTGTGATACTGACGTAGGAATAGGCATAGAGATCTATAGAATAAATACCAGAGTTCAGAAATAAACCCTTTTTTTTGATAAGGGTGCTAATATCATTCAAAGAAGGAAAGAATAGTCTTTTTAATAAATGGGGCTGTCACAACTGGATATCACATGCAAAAGAATGAATTTGGACCCCTACATCACACCATATACAAAAATTAATTCAAAATGGATCACAGACCTAATCATAAGGGATAAAACTACAAAATTCTTAGAAGAAAACATGGATGCAAATCTTTATGACCTTTGATTAGGCCATGGTGTCTTAAGCACAATACCAAAGAGCAGAGGTAACAGAAGGAAAAATTAGATAAATTCAATTTCATTGAAATTAAAAACATTTGCACTTCAAAGGATACTACAAAGAAAGTGAAAAGAGAACCCACAGAATAGAAGAAAATGTTTGCAAATCATATATCTGCTAAGAGAATTGTATTTAGAATATATAAAGAATAATCACAACTCAATTATTAAAAGGAAAAATAACACAATTTTAAAATGGGCAAAGGATCTGAATTCTCTGAAGAAGATAAACAAATGGTCAATAAGCACATGAAAAGTTGCTCAACATCCTTAGCCACTTCACATACACTAGGATGGCTAAAATTAAAAAGACAGATAATAACAAGTGTTGACAAGGATGCAGAGAAATTAGAACCCTCATACATTGTTAGTGAGAATGTAAAATGGTTCAGCTGTTTTGGAAAAGAGTTTGACAATTCCTCAAAAGGTTAAGTATAGAGTTACCATATGAGCCAGCAATTCCACTCCTACGTACATACCTAAGCAAAATGAAAATTATGTCCACGCAAAAATGTGCACACAAACGAACGTAGCAGCATCGTTCACAATAGCTAAGAAGTGGGAACACAACTGACGAGTGGATGAATAAAATGTGGTCTCCACACAATGGAACATTATTCAACCATAAGACTGAATGAAGTACTGATACATGCTACACTGTGGAGGAACCCTGACAACATTATGCTAAGTCAAAGAAGCCAGTTATAAAAGACCATATATTGTATGTTTCCATTTATATGAAACGGCCAGAATAAAATCTATAGAGACAGAAAATGGATTAGTATTTTCCAGGGCTGGCAGGGGGAGGGGCTGGGAGTGACTGCTAATGGGTCCAAGGTTTGTTTTTGGGGTGACATGTTCTAAAATTGATTGCTGTGGTGGTTGCATAACTGTCAATATATTAACTACTGAACTGTGTACTTTAAACTGAGACTCTGTGCTATGTGATTTATATCTTAAACTTTTTTAAAAAGATCACACATTCCAACACACTACACAGACATTATAGGGGAGTAGGTGCCCTCAGCATGACAATTCCATTCAATGACTGTTCCTTTATTCAAAAACTACAGCATGCCAGCCATGTGCCAGATGATGGGGGAGGGGGATGTTGAAGTGACCAAGACACAGTCCTGGCCTTTCTGGGACTCACAACCTGTTCAGAGAAGCAAATACATACCCAAATGCCTCTAACAGGAGAGGGATTGTGGATACCTGTTATAGTAAAAACACAAAGTGTAAGAAAAACTGACAAAGGAGTGAGTTGGAAATCTTAACTGCTCCTTCCTCTTGGGGAAGGAGATGAGCCTGGTGAAGAGGGAGGTGTAGTTCATCAGGGGTTTCCCTTCTCCTTCCTTTGGGGGCTCTCCAAAGACATCCACATTGCATGGGTGGGAGAACTGATGAGTGCCTGTGGAGCCATGGGCAGCTGGGTGTCCGGGGGATGTGTGGAGGACTAAGGCATGGCCTGTAGTGCCAGGGACTCCACAGCCCACCAGGCAGGGACTCAGTGAGAAGTGGGCGCACTGAGCAGACGATCTGCAGAAGGGAGCAGGTGACAGATGCTGGTTTGAGTGCTCAGGATGGTAAGTGCTGCAGGGGTAACTTGTCCTGCTTCCACTCTTTCCGGATTGTTCTCCGTAAGCCCCCTGTGTGGGCAGATGCCTCCTGGGCTCGTTCACATGGACCTGCACACAGGGCTGTGTGAAAGTTGATGGTTTAAACTGGGGTTAGGGATAAGATGACAGACCCACAGCCCGGTCCCTGAGAGCAGGGGAGAGAGGCCTGTCTGTGGGGTGCCAGATTCTGCCCCCGCCTTCTGGAGGCCTTTCCCTCCTCTTCCTCCTCTATGTACTTAAGCCATTCCCATTGCTTGCTCAAACTCTGCTTCCAAGAAAGGACCTGATCTCTGGGCCCCCAGTATGCATCAGCGCCTCCCCATGTTGGACGAAGTCTCACTAGAGGGGCCCCTCAGCCGCTCAGGGGTGGCATCCCCCAGAGGCTTGGGCTCGGGAGCCCATTCTATGCACTCAGAGCTGCAAGGGCCCATTCCACTGGAATTTGTTGCTCCCATCAAAGGCATAAATATTAACAGCTGTGCTGGAGCAGGGGGGTGTTATTTTAATCTATATCTTTCCTTGTAAAAAGAAAGCCCACTCCTGAAGCAAAAGCAGTTCAAAGAGGGAAGTTCATAGCAATACAGGCCTTCCTCAAGAAACAATAAAAATCTCAAATTAACAACCTAACCTATCACCTAAAAGAATTAGAAAAAGAAGAACAAACAAAACCTAAAGTCAGCAAAAGGAAAGAAATAATAAAGATCAGAGAAGAAATAAATAAAATAGAGATAAAAAATAGAAAAGATCAATAAAACCAAGAGCTGTTTGTTTTGTTTTGTTTTTTAAATATAAACAAAATCAACAAACCTCTAGCCAGGCTCATCAAGAAGAAAAGAGAGAGGATCCAAATAAACAAAATAAGAAATGAAAGAGGGGAAATAACAACTGATACCAGAGAAATAGAAAAAATCATAAAGAGAATACTATGAACTGTTATATGCCAACAAATTGGACAACCTAGAAGAAATGGACAAGTTTCCAGAAACATACAGTCTGCCAAGACTGAGTCAAGAAGAAATAAATAATTTGAACAGACTGATCACTACAAGTGAAGTATAATCTGTAATTTTAAAAAACTCCCTGCAAACAAAAGTCCAGGACCAGATGGCTTCACTGGGGAATTCTACAAAACATACTACAAAGAACTTATACCTATCCTTGTCAAACTATTCCAAATTTATTCTATGAGGCCACCATCACCCTGATACCAAAACCAGACAAAGACACTACAGAAAAAGAAACTTACAGGCCAATATATTTGATGAATATAGGAGCAAAAATCCTTGACAAAATATTAGCAACCCGAATCCAACAATACATAAAAAAGATCATATACCATGATCAAGGTGGATTCATTCCAGGGTCCCAAGGATGGTTCAACATACACAAATCAATCAATGTGATACACCCCATTAACAAAAGGAAAGAGAAAAACCACAATGATCAATCATCTCAATAGATGCATAAAAAACATTTGACAAAATCCAACATCCATTCATGATAAAAATTCTCACCAAAGTGAGTACAGAGGGAACACATCTCAACATTTACAACAAACCCACAGCCAGCATAATATTCAACAGTGAAAAGCTGAAAGCCTGTCCACTAAATTCAGGAACAAGACAAGGATGGCCACTCTTACCGCTTCTATTCAACATAGTATTGGAAGTCTTAGCCACAGCAATCAGACAAGAAAAAGAAATAAAAGGTATCCAAACTGGAAGGGAAGAGGTAAAACTGTCACTGTTTGCAGATGACATGATACTCTATATAGAAAACCCTAAAGTCTACACACAAAAGCTATTAGAACTAATAAATGAATTTAGCAAGGTAGCAGGGTGCAAGATTATTATGCAGAAATCTGTTGTGTTTCTTTACACTAATAATGAAATATCAGAAAGAGAAAGTTAAGAAAAAAAACCATTTAAAATTACATCAAAAAAATAAACAACTAGGAATAAACTTAACCAAGGAGGTAAAAGATCTATATGCTGAAAACTAGAAAACATTGATACAGGAAAATGAAGATGATTCAAAGAAATGGAAAGATATCCTGTGCTTTTGGATTGGAAGAATTAATAGTATTAAAATGGCCATACTACCCAAAGCAATCTATAGATTTAATGCAATCCCTATCAAATTACCAGTGGCATTTTTTACAGAACTAGAACAAAAAAAATCTTAAAATTTGTATGGAGACACAAAAGACCCCAAATAGCCAAAGCCAGCTTGAGGAAAAAAAATTGAGCTGGAGGAATCAGACTCCCCGACTTCAGACTACACTACAAAGCTACAGTAATCAAGACAATATGGTACTGGCACAGAAACAGAAATATAAATCAATGGAACAGGATAGAAAGCCCAGAAATAAATCCATGCACCTATGGTCAATTAACAACAAAGAAGGCAAGAATATACAATGGAGAAAAGACAATCCCTTCTAGTGGTGTTGAAAAAGCTGGACAGCTACATGTAAATTAATGAACTTAGAACATTCCCTCACAACATATACAAAAATGAGCACAAAATGGTTTAAAGACCTAAATGTAAGACATGACACCATAAAACTCCTAGAAGAGAACATGGGTGAACATTCTGAGACATAAATTGTAGAAATATTTTCTTAGAGCAGTCAAAGCAAAAGAAATAAGAGCAAAAATAAACAAATGGGACCTAATCAAACTTACAAGCTTTTGCACAGCAGAGGAAACCTTCAACAAAACAAAAAACA